AGTATTTGGGTACATTCAGGTCAATTTATAGTTGTAGGAATGCAGTGGCTTTTATTCAGACAGATAAGTCCATTCTGCTTTGCAGTTCATTTTCTGTGCATAGTACTCAGAATAAATTTATATACATGCAGGAATCTTTACAAATAGGGAAGAACACATCAACATACAGAAGCATTAAACAACAATTCTGCAGAGCACTGGACTTGTCCTATCTCATTGCTATTGCTTGAAAATAGCCCTGATCCTCAAAGGTATTTATCAATGGGAGTTAGGCTGTAAATACCATTGAAGATCTGGGCCCTTGATCACTGCTGGAGTCAGTATCTAAAGTTTTTTTTTTAAATGCACATAAAGAATAATGAAAGAATGATACAAAGTTGAGGAGAAAATAACTGGATGATGTGTTGTTTTGATACAGCGTGAGGGTTCAGTGAATACATAGCTAAATCTAGCTTATTTAGAAAGAAAAACTGCGAATGCATTTTCTCCCTTGGGCAAACATTTGAAAAGCTGAAGACTAGATTTGCTCATTACATACAAAAATATTTGCTAATTGGGGATGTCTGCTTCCCCCATAAGGCTCCTAACACTATCATTGTTGTGCTGATCTTTCTCTCAATAGGAAATCATTAAAGCTGCATAAATGCTCCACAAATTCCTGATGACTGGCTTAGAATATTCTAGTCATGGTCAGTTTTAATTAGTGGCATTTGCTCACAGTGCAGTTAACTAGCTCTAGAGTAAAAAAAGTTCATGGTGGTTTTATTGGTGCATCAGCAAACCTGGCTGGACGAGTCAATAGCATGATGAAAATCACAAGCATCAACACATTTCTGAATAGCATATCAGCCCGGGGTGATTGCTTTGCTGTGCATGTGAAAAAGGAAATTCCTCTTTCACCACAGTCACATGCCCTGCCCAGTTTAATTCACTGCACATGATCTGAGCATTGTACCAGATATTTACCTCTGATAATTGAAAGTGGTGAGTTTTAAAGGGATGCCATATGTTTAAAAATCTGTCTCCCTTCAGCCCCCTTAAGATCCTATTGTGACAAGCAACGTCTAGTGTTACTCTGACTGAAGTCGATTAGGGGAAAATATTTGTTCCCATATTTTCTGTTTCCTTTGTGCATTTGACAGTACTTTATGCATGTTCCTCTGTGTAGTCAGTTATTTATTCAAACCATAGCTACGCTACAGATGCCACTGCGGTTTAGGTACAATGCTGTGACTATGTTGCTGTAGTGCTATAACACAGACACTTCTCACAGGGATGGAAAGGGTTTTTTTTCCATTGCTGTAGGAGCTTCAGCTCCCCAAGTGATGGTAGCGAGGTCAAAGGAAGCATTCTTCCATTAACCTCGCTGCATCTACGCTGACGGTTCAGTTGGCATAGCTGTGGCACTCCGGCGTCTGAATTTTTCACATCCCCTGTCATAACTATGAAGGGAAGGGTAACCACCTTTACATCCCTCCTGGCCAGAGGAAAAACCCTTTCACCTGTAAAGGGTTAAGAAGCTAAAATAACCTCGCTGGCACCTGACCAAAATGACCAATGAGGAGACAAGATACTTTCAAAGCTGGAGGGGGGAAAACAAAGGGTTCTCTCTGTCTGTATGATGCTTTTGCCGGGACCAGAGCAGGAATGCAGGTCAGAACTCCCGTAAAAGGGTTAATAAGCAATCTAGCTAGATATGCGTTAGATTCTGTTTTGTTTAAATGGCTGATAAAATAAGTTGTGCTGAATGGAATGTATATTCCTGTTTTTGTGTCTTTTTGTAACTTAAGATTTTGCCTAGAGGGATTCTCTATGTTTTGAATCTGATTACCCTGTAAGGTATTTCCCTTCCCGATTTTACAGAGGTGATTCTTTTACTTTTTCTTTCATTAAAATTCTCTTTTAAGAACCTAATTGCTTTTTCATTGTTCTTAAGATCCAAGGGTTTGGGTCTGTGTTCACCTATGCAAATTGGTGAGGATTTTTATCAAGCCTTCCCCAGGAAAGGGGGTGTAGTGCTTGGGGGGATATTTTGGAGGGGAGACATTTCCAAGTGGGCACTTCCCCTGTTCTTTGTGTAACACTTTGGTGGTGGCAGCGTTTAACCTAAACTGGTAAGAATAAGCTTAGGGGGTCTTTCATGCAGGTCCCCACATCTGTACCCTAGAGTTCAGAGTGGGGAAGGAACCTTGACACCCCCTTAGCACATAGTTACGTGGACCTAACATTTAAGTGTAGATTAGGTCTTAGTTTCCCTTGATGACTTTTTAATTGTGTCAGGTTAGGCTCTGTGTGAAATAGAACACATTTTCCTGAGAACTAATCATCAGCCTTTGTATCAACATTGGGATTATCATATATGACAAAATCAATTATATTGAATGGGCCTGGTTCTGATCTCATGGACACCAATGTAATTCTACTGATTTCAATGGAGATATCCGTGATTTACAACAGAGATCAGAATCCCCCATGTGCTGGCAACTATGATACAGGTAGGTTCACAGTGCACATGCTCACTTTTCTATCCCAAATCCTGGAAAGTACTGAATCAGACCTTTTCACTAGCATACTCTTACCTTGCGGAGCTGGCATGAGCAGTGTGGTTGGAATTATGAAGAAAGAAATGAGTCAAGAAATAAAAGCATATGCATTTTGAATGTAACTATCTCATAAACTCACACACATGGGACCTGATTCTAGTCTCTGGTGCAAGGCCCAGATTCAGCAAATCAGTATATGCGTAAGTCACATTGATTTCAACAGGAATTAAGTGGGTGCTTAAAGTTAAGAACTTGTTTAAGTGCTTTGTTGAATAGGGGTGGGACTTCGCATATGCTTAAAATGAAGCATGTGCTTAAATGCATTGGTTAGTTGAGGCCTAAAAAAGAAGGATCTCCACTGAAGCCAGTGGTGTTACTCTTGTCTAGATGAGATCCGAATCAGGCCCATGAAATATTAGTGATTTTAGCATCCATGGCTACCCCAAAGTTGCTACAAAGCTGATGATTATTGCTGTTGAGCACAACTTACCACTCAAAACCTGGTGTGACAGAACTAAAGAGACACCATCACCTTGAAACTACTTAATGTAAAAATATGAATTAATGCACTTTCAGATGTATAGCTGTCCTGGAGACTCACCTTCAAATTTTTGATTTTACAGTCAGATATTCCTGTGTTTTGCAATTTCTTTTTGCTCTTGCTGGGTCAGAGACACACTAATAATGCAGGTGGAATGACCTGAATAGCTGCTTGTAGTGGGAACTTGTGAAACTATACTTAAAGTGCTGTCAAATGCAGAAAGTAAACAAATTGCAAAAACAATTGAGAAAAGGACTCTCCTCCCCTACCCCTCTGCCATGGTCTCAGGTTGTATGTACTTTGTTCTCTAGAATAAGATCTACTGAAAATCTATGGGATTTTGTAATATCATAACAAAACCATTGATAGAGAGAGGCTGCAAAGGGCTGAGTGTACATGGTGGAAAAAAATGTCTCCAGGGTTTTCAGAGAGCTTGTGTTATTGAAGGTCTTACCCACAAACATTTGGTCACAGAAGTTGCCAAAATGCATTGATTTCCTGACAAAGAGTTACGTGTAAACAATCCTCCAACGTACTAGGAGTGTAATCTTAGCTCCGTTGAAGTTAGTGGGCTTTTTTGCCATTGACTTCACTGGGGGCTAGGATTTTACTCAAGGTCCAGATTACCCTGAGATTATATAAACTATAGATGCCAAGCCTGCATCTGTTGATATATTTTAACGCCTTTTTTATCACTGCAAGGAATACTTTTGTCTTCTGTAAATGTCAATTCAATTGTATTGGTGCAATTCAGCCAGCTCAGGTATCACATCCGAAGTCCATTGAAAGCAGTGAGTTTCTTTCCCTTGATATCAATGGGCTTTGGATCAGGTTCATATTGCATTTATAGCTGCATGAAAACGCCTCCACTTAAGTAAATTATAAAATGTCATAGGAACCATTGAGTGTTAGGGAGTTGCAAGAAGGATTCAACTGGTCATGTTCAGGAGTCCTACCAGAAACTAAATTTTCACTCTGTTGGTGCACAATATATTTAATGAGATGCTGATGTATTAGATAGCAGTCTGAAACTTATCCCCATAGAACTTGTTATTTTGTATTGTATGATTTAAAGTTACTGAGAATTATTTTATATTCAGGAGCTTGTTTAAAGTAGTATAACTCAGTAATGAGCCAAGTGACCTCTTAGAATTGAAACAGGAGTTAGATACTGGGCCAGATTTCTGCTCTCTGTTATGCAGGTGTAAATGACGATAATTATTGTGAGTTCCATGCTCATTTCTCTAGACCATCTGGACTCTGAGAATCTTCTGCCTCCTGAATTTACAATTAATTGCAATTTTTTGCCCCCAAACTTGCTTTTCTAGTTTTTGTGGGCCACCATGTTAATAATTCATAGTCCCAGAAATGTCACTGAAAAATCCAATTTTATGACGTGTGAGGTGTCGCAAAGTGAAGGGATGAAAAATTTCAGGTTGACACAGAAATATGGTATGTTCTTTAGTGTGATATTTTAAAAAGTGTCAAAATATATCAAACACGGTCACAAACATTGGAGAAATCAGTGCCTTATACTGTTGATTCCTCCTGCTTAGAATCAGACACCATTGCAAGCTTCAGTGATTGGTATTTCATAAAGTGTCTATTCCTTGGCTCCCAGCCATCATAAAGCATATGGTGAATGAGCTGTGACAGCACCACAGTGCTGAAATGTATTTAACTGCTTGTCTTTATCAGCTTTGTTCAGAAAAATAGTGTATACCACGGGAGAGCCGAATGGATAAAAGTGCATATTTTTTGTCGGTTTCATCATACCTTTGTTTCTCCCATTAGTCTTTAATTCTCAACATAGGTGGCTACAAATTTTAAAATATTCACTTGTTGGATAAGTGGCTCCTCTATTCTTAGCGAACCTGAAGCCAGTACTAAAAATGTCATGTTTATCTGCACTGCAGGAAGCAGATGAAGCTTTGTTATGTAATCTGGAACTTCAGATTGAATCACAGTTCCTGCAGGATGACATTAATGCCACAAAGGACAGGTACAAGAAGGTAATTGCACTGAATTCCCCACCTCTCAGAGAGGAGTCTGGAAGGTTGAAAAGTGTCACGCTAACCTTTGATCTCTTTCAGTGGCCACTTCAGACACCTACAGGGTAAAGGTTTGTTGTTTTATTTTATTGTAAAAAGGCATTTTGAAAAGGGTCAAAGAAACCCAGTGACCCCAGGTAAGACTGGATATGTTAGTGAACAAAATACATTCAGTTTGGTATTCTCTAGACCAACAAGTAGGCTGTTGTATTTTATCAAAGCTCACTCACTCAAGGTCAGCAGTCTAGAATCATTAACATGATTAACAGGATCTGCTTGAATCCTTTATCATCATTTAATCTATAGAGGGGCCAGTCCTGTTTGAGCCATCCTGAGTACCATGATAAGCAATCAGGCCAAGAGCCTCAAACGTATTTAGGCCCCTAGCTCCCACTGGAATCAGTGGGAATCACAGGTCTGAATAGGCTTGTTGATATAGGCCTTACTGTTTTACACAGAGGTACAACAATTTGTTTTGTAGCATGAACACTATAAAATGTTGCCTGATTCAAGTTCTGTAAAGGGTGTGACTGGGAGGATTGTAGTCTGGCATTCCCAGGAAAAGATCCATCATTAAATAGCTTTAGGAGCCATATATAAACTGGGAATAGATTTGGTAAAAAGAGCGAGACTAACGTTAATCCTTTTCCACATTTCTTTGGAATTTTTGCCATTGAGAGCTATGGAAGCTAGATCAGGTCTAGAGGCAAAAACTAGAACAGGGTCAATGGTCAGTGACTCAAACCAGATGCTGGACTTGGTCAACCTTTTCTAAGCACATTTACAAAGTGTCATCTGAAAGGAGTCACAGTCTTACACATCGGCCATACAAATGAAAATACCTCCTTCCACCTGTCTTTATTACACCATTAACCACCCTTACCCCTTCCACCTCTCCTCCACCAGTGACTAGATCAGATTATATTCCCATTTGTTCCTTTAAAACATGAGTAACATAGTACTGAATTAAGACTATGCTGCATCTCATCAGTAACTGAACAGCTTTAGCAAAGTACTATCTGAATGTGGTGATTGGGTTACTAAACTGCGAACACATATAGAGCCCAGTTCAGATGAGTAGAAGTCCACTAGAGTCAGGGTGGCATGTATGTATGGCAGATCTGAATTTGACCCATACTTTTACCAGTGAAAGAAGTTATCATCAAGAAATAAATCACAGACATTCAGACAGCTGAACTGAAATCTTGCTCTACTAGTTACTAATTAAAATTATTTTACTCCACCACAGAATATCATGGAAATACAGACCTATGTCAGCATTTTACAACAGATCATCCAAATGACCCCTAGTGTGACCACCATTACAGTTGGAGTGAGCGAGGTAAGTGTTTCACTGAGTAAATAAATGCTATGTAGTGAGCACTCACAATGTGATAGTCAATATTTACCCTAAGTTCCTGAGATAGTCCATCTATTTCCTATTCTAAGTAGACGGAGGTGCTGTGGTGTCTGTGAGTAAATGTGGAATTGCTAATGATGACAACAGAAGATCAGAGTTGCAGCTTTGAAAAACTTAAGTGAGCTTTAGGAGCTTTAGGATCAAAAGAGATGTCAGAAGTCTTGAACAGGGATTTCTGCTAGCCAGGTGTATTCTGGGACATGTTAAAAGGCTAGTCCAGCAGCAGCAGAAGTAGGGATGTGTCCCATCAGAGTAAAGAGATTCCAAGATTTGGAGATGGGGATGTGAGCCTACTTTGCCTGCTCCCTCTCCAAAGAGTCAAGATGGGGCAGGGGCAAGAGCAAGAGGGATGGACCCTTGTGAATCAAACTGATTGAATGAAACCAGGTGAGACAAAGGTGATGGGTTTCACTTTCGCACCAGTGTAGGACAGTACCCCAGGAAACAGTTGTTGTTTGGGTGTGAATGGCAAACCTTTTCCTTTCAAATGAAATGAACTATTTTAAACCATAAGCAGTGCTTCTACAGTGCCTCCATTGGGAACTTGAGACCATTGAAGTTATGTAGCAAGAGGCGGAGGCGTCATCTCATCATCATTCATGTTGTCTTTTCAGATTGACTGTAGGTAATGAAATCTCTGGTGGCATGTTTACACGATCAGACATTCTTTCTTCTTTTCTCTCAGGAAAGACTGATGGCAGAAAGGAGAATTCCTATCCTGCAGAGTCAGCTGGAAGAGTACAAGAGCATTCTTTGTCAGCTGCAGACTCAGAAATTGAAACTGCAGACTGAGGTACCATACAACTAACTGGAAAGTCTAGTGACCCTCATTGATTCAGACTAGTGTAATTGCAACAAATCAACACGTAACACTGAACAACGCAGCATGGATGGTATTTAATGGGGTTTTGAGCATATGTATTCTACCTACAAATAAGATGAATGCCTGAAAAGGATTTTTTTTTATTCAAACTTTACCTATCTCAGCTTCTGCCTTCTGTCTAACCATGGGATGAAGATTTATGTAGTTAGTTTCAGAGGGTCAGTCATGACTGTGTGATGGCTGCTTAGTAGGTTGAGTAGAAGTGGTTGGAGGCCTTAGTCCAGTACATGGTGGAACAAGATGCCCAGATCACAACTGGGTTGCTGATGGACAGTCTCAGCAGACAGGCCAACGACTGAAAAGGTCCAGGGACTGAGTCTCCCCCTCGCTCAATCCAGTATGAAATGCACTGGCACTGTGGGATAAAATCAGAGGTCTTCAGAGATGTCAGTTCAGCACTTTCCCTGAGCACTAAATTCACTCCACAAGCTCTGGGGTTGATGTGGGAATAACTGGGTGACATTCTATGGTCTGTGCCATGAGACAGGTCTCACTCAATGATCACAATAGTCCCTTCTGACCTTAAAATCTATGTATTTCCTCAAAAAGTGCATGTCAGGTTTCACACAGCAGCCTACACATATCCCTGATTACAATAACAATGAATTAGCACCTTCAGCCACACCCAGGGACCAACAGCAACAATGGTCTGTGTGTCTGTGCAGTGCTGATTCACAGGGCATGAGTTACCAGGACTTTTCCTGCAGCTCCTGCCTGTCCCCAGCCAAGTACGTCATCGTGCAGCTTGTGTCTTCTGCAGCAATCCACTGGGCTCTGTGATCCTGTCAGGCTAAGCTGAAAACTGAACAGCAACCTAAGCCATGAAGGTCAGGACCTATATGCCCACCCCTAGGAAGGGCCTAATTAATGGGGAGTTGTGGAAAATTATTACCTTAACGCAGCAAGTAAGGGCTCCTTTGTGCCTGTTCCGGGGATGGTGTGCTGATACACAGCACCTCCCAGAGATCTTGGGAAGTGCAGCCACTGCAGTGGCTTGCTGAGTCTCGCCGGCTCTTCTGGCCAGCACACAGAGGGGTTGGGCTAAGGCCACATCTCTCCCTCAGCCTCCTTGGGGTGTCTGACACCCTAGTCAGGAATTCACCTTGCACTCAGGGGAGAGCACGGACTGTGAGGGTGCCTGAGTTCTACTCAGATGTACAAGTAGCTGGAGAAACCTGCCTTCAGATGGTTAACCCAAGAAAAGATTAGCATAATCTGGCCTTTACTAGTCCTAATTTCAGAATGAAACCTTCATTTTCAAGGTGACACTTTCTATTAAGATTCCATTTATAAAGGGTTAATAAATGACAAATATAGCAGTTATACTCATATTGAGAATGTCAGTAAAAGGGGTAAGAGGTGGTTATAAGCCATGGTTATAATCAACCTATGGAGCTGTTGGAACCTCAGGGTGGAATTTTCCCAAATAAAACAAATCACTCAGGTTCTTTGGAAACGGCTCTCCCCCGCTCCTGCCCCTCCTCCTCCCCCCCCCCTCCCCACGGTCTATAACAATTGAGTAATGAATTATTAAAGCAATATATTAATGATTTATTAACCCTCTACAGCAGTGGGTCTCAACCTGTTTACCATTGTGGGCCACATCTGCAGAGCTCTGTGTCTTGTGGGGAGCGTGCACACAATACATACACTGCCTGTAGAGCCAGACAAAAAAAGAACCAGATTTCGTATTTGTTATACGACAGCAATACAATTCAGATCGCTACAGCACCTTTCGTTTCAACACTGGCACATGTCTGCCAGGAGCATTTTAAATGAGTAAATAAGTCAAAACACTAACTGTTAAAATTAATTTACTGTAAGGGTGGCAAGGCTGCACTGCATTGCAGCTGGGCTGAGTGCCCAGAGAGCACGGCTGCCGAGCCTGCTGGCAAAGATGGGGACCCCTGCCCGGTGCAGGGTGCCCCCCAAGCCAGACACTGCCCCCCATGTATCCAGCCCCTCCAGTCAGGGACTATATCCCAGCCCCCCAAGCTTGCCCCCCCCACAGCCAGGGAATGCCCTCCATCAGCCAACCCCACTGGAACTGCCCCCTCCATGCACCCAGCCCCCCCCACCCAGTAACTGCCCCTGAGAACTCCTCAGCAACTGCCCCCAGCACCCAGAGCTGAGAGCCTTTGAACCAAATGGTAAACCCTGACTATGATGGAAACCACTTCAAGCCAGGGGGTGCAGCAGCACCTCCAGCACCCCTAGTTCCATTACCTATGGCCCAATCCTGCACCACCCCATTTTTACACCCCCACCGGTTCTGCATCTGGGGCAGGTGCCCCTCCTGCCCCTCCCAAGTTATGGCCCTGAGGATGTCACATGGACCACAGCTGTGTGCTGATTGAGAACAACTGCTCTATAGACTAGTTATGAATGAACCCTTCTTATAAAGTGTGATTGTTTGTAAAAGAAAACAGAGAAGGTGCTATAGGAATTACATAATAAAACAGAGAAATAACAGCAGAAGTAACACTTTGCTGCAATTCCCTAGCTTGCTTTTTTTTTTTTTAAAGTGACTCAGCACCATCTTGTGGCCAACTTACGTTCCAGTGATGCATTAATAAAATCCCAGTTCTCTGCAGGAGTCACTGCACAGGCGGTTAAGTTATTCTACACGCCAGAATGTTCTGATAGTAACATTTAAAGGCAACTCCCATGTAGTACTTCCTTGGTCATCATTTCACTTGCTGGTGGAGTGCAAATCCCCTGAGGATTAGATGCTGCTCGCTCGCTGTATGTGACTCTCCCCAAGTGTTTTGTGAGGGTCAGCGGCAGGATGCAGCTTGTAACGTTAAAGTTTGTCTTTCGATTGCTACACCTGTACTGCAGCTAGCTGTAACTTGGTCTGCAGCACTGCACACTGGGCTCCCATAGTGCCCGTGGCACCAGTGATGTCACATTTAGTAACATGGCTGTACAACTGGTAGTCTCAGAATTAATCACTTTCAGTCTCATGTGGCACCTTTCCATCTAAGGTGAGCTTTACAGTCAATAATGAACTATGTAAGTATTATACTCCCCAGCTGACAGCTGGAGAAACTGAGATAGAAAGAGATTATGGGCCAGATTTTAGTCACCTCCCGATTGGGCAGAACAGACAGCTCTCTTCCCTCTGTGCTCCTGTCCAGTCAGCCCCTGTAATCCTTGTGCTGGAGCCTTTAGAGTGCCAAGTACAGGGGGTGTTTAGCAACTTCATTGGTGCTACACAACCTCCTGGGGCTGGGTGGGATGTAAAGTGGCTAGACCCAAACTTCCTCTAAAGAAGAGGCGGTGCAAGAAGAATATAGGCTGAACCTCCAAAAAGGAGCAGTAAGAAGCAGCCATGAGCCTGCTCCTGCCAGAGGAATTCTGGCTGCCTGGGTCTTCCATGGGCAGAACGACTCTGGCCATTGCTGTTAGCATAGTGCAGTAATGTGTCTTCCCCACCCACAAATGCAGCACTGTGGTCACTAAACCACCACTGAAACTCTGATTGACTTGCCTGGAAACATACATAACATCTGCAGTGGAGTCAGGAATCGAGCACAGATCTCCTGGCTATGCTGCAGCCCAAAACCATCCTTCTTCTGCCAATTTTCAAACCTGCTCCCCCTCCTCCCTTTAGTCTGCCAGAGACCAGCTTTGCAAAGCCCATTTTCTTACTGTCTATATTAAGGCTGCTTAGGGTGGTGTGGGCTATGATTAGGGTGACCAGATGGCCCGATTTTATAGGGACAGTCCCAATAATTGGGGCCTTTTTTTATATAGGTGCCTATTACTCTCTACCCCTTGTCCCGATTTTTCACACTTGCTATCTGGTCACCCTAGCGCTGACGGGTATATTTATAGAAGCGCCTTGGTCTATGTTTTAATTTATGGAATAGACCATGGCACGGGGGGGGAGCAATAGATGTATTTTTTAAATATGAATTAATAATGAAATGAATGTAATGAATGTGCCAATTGGCTTTAATGGTGCAGCATCGGATCCAGTTTTCAGAGCTTGTGCAAAGGAATCCAAGACCTTTGTAGAAGCTACTCATCTGGCCCACTTAGATGCTCTCTGGGAAACATCTTCATAGTGAGAGCTGGTGGGGAATTTTCTGACCTAAATACTTTTTCATCGGAAAATGCAGATTTGTAGAACCCCCAAACTGTTCACAGAAAAGAGTCCGTTTCGACAAAGCTCCCAATTCCAAACATTTCTGTGGAAATGTTTTGGGACTTTATTTAACTTAGACTTTAAAAGGGGTTTTAAAAGATCAAAAGCAAACCAAAAGGCTTCAGCATTATCAAAACAAAACATTCTGATTTACCCAATCTGAATTTTATTTTTTTCAGATTATTGGTCCATGAAAATGTTTGCTGTTGCAACTTTTCATCTTACTTCAGTATGGGAAAAAATTGAAATCTCAAACTCTCATGGGATTGGAAAACCATCTCCCATCCATCCATCTTCACTAGCCCCTCTCACTAGCCATGCATAGTATTGTAGTCAGTTTCCTCTTCAATAATTATCCAAAGCATACGACTTTTTTTCAGTCATTAGTTTGCTGACATAGAAAAGTACTTCTCACCATTTAACGATTCCTCTGAAAATGTCTGTCAGTCCCCACATAGGAAATGCTGTATATCATTGCTTCCAATTTCCTTTATTTCAGACAACCGTGCTGGAACAAGCTATTAAGAGCACTCAAGAGAGTTATGATGATGAGGTTCAGCTATACAACGAGCAGATTGAAACTCTTAGGAAGGAGATAGAGGATGCTGAGAGGACCTTGGAGAAGTACACGAGTGACTGTCACCAGCTGGTGATATATCAGCAGTCCCTGGAGAATGAGCTGGAGCGGTACAAACGTATCATTGAGAATGAAGACAACCGGTAGGGCTATTTCATGTATGGTGTGTAGGGTGGCCAACTTTCTAATTTGTGAAAACCTGACACTGAGTGCTGGAACCTCTCCCACTTGCTGTGCCTCTTCCCCCGAGGCTCCACCCCTTGCTCCACCTCTTTTCCTCAAGGTTCCGCCCCCTGCTCGTCTCCCGTCCTGTTGCTCGCGCTCTCTTCACCATCCTCCCATTGCCAACTAAGCAGGGCTCTAGGGGTGGAAGGGTGACTGGGCAGGATGGGGAAGGGAGAGCCACACTCTGGGGGTGAAGGGGTGACTGGGGCAGGTGAGGGAAGGGAGAGCTGCACTCTGGGGATGAAGGGGTGACTGGGGTGGGGAGGGGAAGGGAGAACTGCACTCTGGGGGTGAAGGGGTGACTGGGGCGGGGAAGGGAGAGCTACACTCTGGGGGTGAAGAGGTGACTGGGGCAGGCCAGGGAAGGGAGAGCTGCACTCTGGGGGTGAAGGGGTGACTGGGGCAGGGCGGGGAAGAGAGAGCTGCACTCTGGGGGTGGGGGGTGACTGGGGCAGGGCGGGGAAGGGAGAGCTGCGCTCAGGGGGTGAAGGGGTGACTGGGGCAGGCCAGGGAAGGGAGAGCCACGCTCCGGGGGTGAAGGGGTGACTGGGGCAGGGCGGGGAAGAGAGAGCCACACTCCGGGGGTGAAAGGGTGACTGGGGCAGGGAAGGGGAAGGAGAGCTGCACTCCGGGGCTGGAGGGTGAGTGGGACAGGTTGGAGAAAGAAGAGCCATGCTCGGGGGAGCCACCGGTACCTCTCTCCGCTGGAGCTGTTCCTGAGTGCTCCTCCAGGCTCCAGCAGCAGCTACTGCTCTTCCCACTCCCTGGTGGCAGAGGCGGTTACTGCAGGTAACCAGACTTTTAGTGTCCAGTCAGCAGTGCTGACAAGACACTGCCAGGTTCCCTTTTCAACCAGACTTTCTGGTTAAAAAAAAAAAACCCTGACACCTGGCAACCCTAATGATGCGTCCCTGGGGGTTGTGAGTGACAGTGCAGGAGCCTAGTATTTGATAACGGGGAATTTGTTTAATCCCACTAAAGCCTATGTGAACTTTACTACCCACGGGGTTCTCAAAGCAGGAACTTGAGGACAGTGGTCCTCATCCAAAGCCCACTGAAGCCACTAGAGAGAGACAGCTCCGGGCCAGTGCGAGGAGAGTATGAGGTTCTCATCCAGCCTGTCAGTCTAGTCACCATTTGCCTGCTGTCTTTTAGTTTCAGTACACAAAGGACAGGTGCAAACGAAAGCCTTTCTATGATTCTGTGAACTGACTGCCCCTCTGCAGAGCTCTAATAACCCGTCAGTTACAAACTGGGGGCTAGCTGTTTAAAATCTTGCTAGCAGTTTGGGGCTAGATCCTGAAAAGGGACTCACCATTGTAGTGCTTAACTTTTAGGTGTCCAGCTGCCTCATGGAATCCACAGTCCTGAGCTGGGTGCCCCGGCTCCCTATCCATGCCTGGGAAGGGTGAGATGCCTCAGAATGCGATTCACAAAAGCCAACATGCTGAGCAGGGAGCTACCTAAGCTAACCAATAGGAAAGTCCCAGGAGAGGTGTGCAGTTTAGGTCCCACCCCGCAAAGGGAGATAGGTGCCCAATGGGAGGCATCTCCCTCCATTTGGGATTGACCACTGTGAACGTTATGCTGGAGTTAGGTATGTCAGTCAGGGCAGCCCTTTCTTTCCAAAACCAAAAGCCAAGGAGATAGCATCCACATATAGGAGGCCAGAGTTCAATGCCCCCTCTGCCTGATGTGAAACAGTGACTGGAACCCAGGTCTCCTACCTTGCAGGTGAGTGCATGAACCCTGGGCAGGAGGTACCGTGGGGTCAGGCTTTCTCAATCTTGACTGTTACAGTGGCTTCACTTTGTATAAAACACTGAAACATTCATTGGGGCAGAGAGAAAATGATTCTCCAGCCTTTATAAACTGTGGACCAGGTTCAACAGGAGAGATTAAGAGACTTCCACAGCAAAGTATCCCATAGCTAGCGCACTCACCTAAGAGATGGGAGACTCAACGTCACATTCAGTCTCCGCCTCAAGCAGAGAGGGGAAGTGAACCTGGGCTTCTCATATCCTTAACCATGAGACTAAGGTGTTGGAAGTCTAGGTCTACCTCCTCATCTGCCCTCTTCCCTCCCCAACCCCACGGCCATTTGATGTGGGGTTAGGTGTGCTCTGAGCATGCCTACCAGAACAGGCCCTGCAGGTGAGCTAGGTGGGACAACACCCGGTTCGAAGATCTCGCTGGGGTTTAGGTGCGAGATAGCTGCACTGCTGCTGTGTGCACTTACAGGACAGCATGCTGACACACTCAGCCCCCCAAAACACCTGCACACAACACACCCCCTGTCACACTCCACCACCACCCCCCATTTGAAAAGCCCGTTGCAGCCACTTACGCCCTGGGCTAGCTACCACAATGCACTGCTCTTTGTGGCATTCCAAGAGCTGCTAATGTGGCCACGCCAATGCGCTTCCAGCTGACAGTGTGAACACACGGCAGCGTTTTCTCTGCTGCGGTCTCCAAAGGCTGGTTTAACTCACGGCGCTCTACAGCTGCAAGTGTAGCCACGCCCTTCGCTGCCTAGGGACATTAGACACCTCCAAGATTAGAAGGCAGCTGAGCAGGGTAACTGAAGATCACACTGGTGTCTTTGGAGCTAGCACTTGGCTCTAGAAACAGGCAAAGTTTTATTTCCACTGAAGGTTCCTGTGACATCCCCCCCGAGTGCAGTCCGGATTGTGGAACCACCGTGATCCCTTTAACTCCCCTGCCCAGGCCGGTCTCCTACGCTGCTGTGCTAGTGAACAGCAAACGCCACCAGGCTCTGTTCACTCAGCTATCAGCATGCAGGGGCACACCCAGCGAAGTACATGAATGCTCTCTCCAGCCACTCATGAACTGTATACAAGGAGACACCAGCAAATCCCCCCCAGCTCCAGCACTGCACCCCAGAAATGTGGGTCTTACACTGCTCAAGACCTTCTTGATCAATGCAAGCTCATTAATGAGCTTGCCACTGTGTCAGAGGGTGGTGGATATGCATCAGCCTTTGTAACCTGAATAGATTCCCTAAACACTTCAGCCAGAAACACACTGGTTTAGATTAAACATAAAAGAGATCTATTAACTACAGGAAGATAGATTTTAAGTGATTTATAAGTGGTACAGGCATAGGAGTTCAGAATTGGTTGCAAAAAGAAATAAAAGATAAAATTGCAGTCTAATTCCTAAACTTTATCAAGCGAGGTACAATTTGAAGTCATAAGTTTTCTCTTACCCCAAAACCCACAGCAGTTCAAATGTTTCTTTTTCTTCCAAACGATCTTGTTGCCTTCAGTGTAGGGGTGGAGGGTAAGAGGTGAGGTGGTTATGTCACTGTCCCTTATTTTATACTCTCCTCCAGGTGCTGGAAAAATCCTTGCTGTGTCATGGGGGTTAGGCAGCCCCATGGTGTACATGCTTGAGCAACTGACTCTCATGTGAATTGTAAATCTCTTATTTACAAGGCCCTTCCTGGTGAATGGCCGATGATGGTTGCTTGACACTTGATTGGGTGTTGGTCACTCCTTTGTTCCCAGAGACAAGCTAGTCTGTGCGTGTTTTCCAGATCGCAACATGTTTCAGTGATAAACACAGAGCAAAAATCTCGTAACTTCATGTACAGTAATGATACCTACATTTCAACAGGATCGTAATGTTCAATAGATTATGATTTTTCCAATGATACTTCACAAGGCATTTTTTTTTTTTTTTACAAAATAGCATAACCATACACAAGTGGTGCATATGGGGATACAGGTGGTTATTTTGAGGTACAGTGTGTGACAGTTATATTATGTTTTCTGACTCCGCTGGCCGGTCTCCAGCGCTGCAGAACCTTTAGTGGGGGGAGCTGAGAAGTGACCTGATTTGGGCTTTTTTTGACCTGATACTTGTCACCATAAGCCTTATCCTTAAACTACATTTTGTGTGTGTGCTTGTGAAGCGAAGGGGCATTTTCTCCTCTTATTTCATATGCCTTTGAGCTCCCACTGGTTCATTCAGAGTTGCAGATGATATGCAAGGTTAATTGAACAGAGCAGGAACAAGTAGGTCCAGTGCCTGGCTGGGAACACTAGAGGGAGCTTGCATGAAGAAAAATGAGCAGATGGCAAGAGCTGTTGCACTGAGCTAAGTTAAATAAGAAAGCAGTCAATAAAAGTAAACTAGATTCTTTATTTGCATTAAACGGCATATGCATATGATTTGAGGGCTGTATATGGCCCTTAGGTCTATGGGGCAGATCGCCAAAAGACTTAGATACCCAGATCCTGCTGCCATCCAGGGGGCATGTGATGGCTAACTGCCCTTTGTGCCTTTCAAAATCTCCTCTTCCATTATGAAATCATTCCCTAGCAACACTAGGGTTGCTTTTTAAAACTATGTGCTTTGCTCTACAGTCTATATGTAAGTAGAGTAGGCCAGATCCTCTGTTGGTGTAAATCAGCATAGTTCCATTGAAGACAGTGGAGGCACTGCTGGTTTACACCAGCAGGGAATGTGGCCAATAGTACAGAGCCTATACATTATATTGATTTAAATGATATTTTATGTTCCCATTTTGATGTGAAGTGAATTGTTCTACTTGTTTAAGGTATTCTGGGGGAAATTTGACACATGCAAATTCTCTTTGCCAGGTTAAATTCTGCCATAATTGGAACCCCAGTTGCACTCTTCACACAGAGCTACAGACCCTGCCAAACTACAACCTGGAGAAGGCGAGGTAAGTATCTGATATTCTTTTCTTGTTTGAGTAAATACAATTTGCATTTTAAACCATTTTCATTTGTCTTCAGCATGGACCCCATTATTGGGGCCTAAATCAGATCCTATTGAAATCGGTTTACATCAGTTGGCTTCAGATCTGGCCCTTGAAGGCTGGATCCCCTAACCAATCGGTTCCTTTGCTATACTGGTAGCATGACTTAATGCAACCGAAGTAGCTTGCACTGAATTAATGAGATGCACAAAGAGAACTAATAGAACAGGCAGCCTTTTTAAAAATAATGCAAAGAAATCACATAGGATTGAGGTTATATCCCAAGTCTGATCATTCTTTCATTATCACAAAACAAGATAGGAACACTTGAGTAGCCCTGTAAATACAAATAGGCAATTTAGCCTTGTTTATCTGCCACGACCCAGTTTGAGCTGAATGAAGTCACAGTCAGTGCTGTATGATTGCTCCCCAGAACTGTATGATTAATACATTTAGAATTAAGATGTTCGTAAGAGCAGGAACTAGTGAAGGCAAATATCCAGGGCTAAAGTAGAAATGATTTTCTAAACAATAGAGATGGATGGTTTGATACCTAGGTGCTTTACATACCAAGTTGATAGATGTCTCAGAAGTTTCATAAATAGATAGGTAATTGGATGTTTCACTGAAAACAAGGCATGTTAAAAAATGAAGATAAACTGTCGCATGTTCAAATTTTTGGAGACCAAATAGGGTGTTTCCCCAGCATTGTGCCAAATACAGCAGGCTTAAATTAAGTTTGTTAGTGAACAAATTAGCTACTAATATATGGGGACCAGATCCTCAACTGGTGTACATAGATGTATCTCCATTGAAGTCTATCAAGCTATGATCATTTACACCAGCTGAGCATTTGGCCCATGCATCTAACTGTACTTTGGATTATTACCTACAGGACTTGACTTGAGGGTATCTAGAGAGTAAGGGAAGAACTTGCCTCTGTGTTAGGACATGAGCGAGTCTCCTGTCACCATTCACGTGAACCTGATCCGCATTTATGGCGATAGCTCTGGGTGGAGTCTGCAATTCTTCCACAAGGAATGGAGCAGGGGGAATGTTTTGAACATGGGGATGTTTTTCCCCATCACATCTGGGAGACGCTTCTGCAGCTGGAAAGCCCAGGCGTCCTGTGAAGCAGCCACAGGAGCTACTTCCATGTGGCTATGGCCCTTAAGCCTGCTACTGATTCAAAATAGTGGTGTTGCACACTATATTGAAAAGCAGCAGTGAGCCCTAAATGTACTTTCAGAGCATTAGTCTCATCTTCATAGATGCTGATTTTGTACACTCAGTTTTGTACATGCAAAAATTAGTATTTATACATTTTATGTATAAAAGTGGTGTTTGTACATGCAAAATGGACACATGCCCAGTATTGCACACTCAGAATAGCCATTTTCATACATAAAATGAATACATGCCCACCTTTGCATCTGCATTCTGTTCTGCACACACTGTACTGACAATGAGGCCCTTTGGTTTGGAGATAGATTGCTAAACTGTCTTGGGCAACACCTTTCAATGTTGTGTGCTGTTGCCTTTGTTTTGGATTTTCTTTAGATATCACCCTGGTTATGCAAGAAATTGCAAGTGCAAAACCAAGACAAAAAGGTCTGGCAAAGAAAATTTCTAGGAGAAAGGAGATCACTTCCAAAGACATAGATGGGTTTTCACCTGAAAACAGCTATGAAAGAACTCTGGAAGACTTTCATCAGGATCAGCTGCAATTTAAACATGAAAGCACAGTATGTGAACCTAAGCAGGAAGAATTAGAACTAGTTGAGCAAGAAACAGTCCCAGAGGATGTGCCTGATGGAGCTCGGATAAGTAAAGCTTTTGATGAATTGTGTAACACTGTGAGAGAGAAAATAAGATGCTTCAAGAGACCCGAGCCTAAGACTGACTTGTCTACCAAAGAGAGCTATGTACTTGTCACAGGGGAAGCAAACTATGACCATCCTTGTTTCTATTCTTCCTCCACCCCGGCTGGAGGTGGGATCATTGTTTCCACTAGCAATGGAAAGATGCCAAATGGTGGGGAGGTGGAGCCAATTCCAGAGCTGCCTGAACCCTCTGAACCATCAGCAAATGAGAAAGGGGAAGTCCATGAAATGCAATATGAGCTTGAAGAGAGAGAAGAAATAAATGAACAGGGCAGAAAGTCAGAAGAAAAAGCTGAAGAGCCCTCAAAGCAGCCTGACATCACTGGGCCTGAGGCAGCACCTCCAGCTGGTGTAGCCGGCCCTTCTGAGCCAGACGTATTTGAAGAGACAGAGCATGACAGAGAAGACCAACGAGGAGGCCAAGCATTCAGAGAACCAAGCTTACCCAGTTCCATGAGCTATGAGAAGGTGGAAGTAGTGGAATCTATTGAGAAGTTTTCAGATGCCAGAATTCAGACTTATGAAGAGACAGCTATGATTGTGGAGACAACAATTGAGAAGACAAGCAAGAAGAAGCTAGGAGACAAAGGCTCTTAAGTTACATCATTTGATAAGCAACTTGTCTGGCATAGTTATTAAATGACAATATTTTTCCCCTGACCCAATGCTAACATAGTGAGACTTTTGCTGTTTGATATAAAACATTGATACATGAATGGCCATTCTGCCTGGTGTAGGTTTATCTTTAATGTAATAATCACTAAAATAGTAGGTTCATTTACGCAACACTTTTTGTGATTAGGACAAGTAAAAAATTATTATTAAGAAGTTGCCTGTCTAAACCACACCTACGTAATCTGTGCCCACTACAAATTGGCCCCTTACAGTTTATATTCCTCTAATGATGCTTTAGCTGCCATTAGTTTCCAATTTTCAGACAGCTGCAAATGTTAGCTTGTGACATCTGGTTCATTGAATAAAAGCTTTGCATCCTAAAGAACATAGTCACAGTGGGTGTGTGTTACCTTTAACATCAAACAGTAGCATTAACGAAGCTAGTATTAACCAATTAACCAACTGACTGGCATGATGTTTTCAAGATGAAGGACTAAGCACTTTAATTCAGTAACGTATTTCAACCATCCCTTGTTTATACTTTGTAGGTATAAGAGAGCTTAGCAATCATTTATTTTTAGCTATGTTACCAAACAAAAATGTGGCTGAATTTGTCATTAAGATCTTACTACATATCATCTAGGCGGCTGAGAATAAAATATGCAACGATGCTAAAAGAGAAAAAGGGACATCTTTAAAAAAGAATGTATTAACAGTCTTCAGCCTTTACACACAAACCTCTCATTGACTTCAAGGGGGCCAGGATTTCACTAGGGTTTTCAATTGTGTTTATTTTTAAGCAGCTTGCATCTAATTTTTATGCTTAAATGTCTGTTACTGTCTGATTTTAAAAAATAGCTTCCTTGAACTCTATTAAAAAAATTGTGCCCACTGCAAAATCTTATGTTACTGAGGTTAAGGTCTTTAGTGCACATTGGAATATCTTCAGAGGATTGCAGACACTTCAAAGATTGTCCGGTTGGAGTATTCAGTGTATAATTTTTTCCCCTCAAGTTTCTTGCATTTTAGTGATCCAGACCTAGAAACCCCTATATATGATCCTGCACCATCTTACTTATGTGATCAGTCCTATTAAACTCAATGGGATTGCTCAAGCACATAGGGAGTGAAGGTTTGCAGGATTGTATCCTGTTTTTGACACAAGAGAAAATATAGTTACAGTATTACACAGCTTGTCAAAAATTGGAATTCTGTCCTGTGGGAAATACTGAGATTTTGATATTCATTTTCGTGTACAGATGAGCCAAAATATGGAAATTTTTCACAGAAGGGACAGTTCCAAAAAAAATTGTCGAAACACTTTATTTCAACTCATTTAGACATTCATCTGCAGCCACCTGAGCTGCCACAGTGCCTCCTGTGAGGAGTAGCTTGGGTGCCTTAGGTCTCCCATTCTCCTCTATGGGTCAGGATTGCTGGTTCGACTACAGCTTCCTTGATGTGCTATGGTCTTGGGACTCCCATGATGCACAGCAGCAGCAATTCAACCAGAGAGGAGACCATTGTAAATCATGGGAAATATAGTCCAGCCACGGATGCTATAGAGGCTAATGGCGGCATGAGGCTCCTGATTAAAAAAAAAAATCAAAATTTTCCCACAGGAAACTTTTTTTTTTTTTAAATGGAAAAGGAAGTTTTCTCAAAATCAAATCAATAGAAAATTCCTAACCAACTCTAATAATTACCCAGAACTAAAAATTTATCATGAAATGTTAATGATGCTCCCCTGTGTAGATTGCTTTCCTACTATCTCTTTTTCACATCCATATAGGCCAAATCCTGCTCACTTTATTCATGTGAGTAGTCCCAGCAATTTCAATGAGAATAAAATCTTCCACGTCTAGAACCATAAAAATGTGTGCATAATTTGGGTATTACTTCAGGGCAAAGGCTGTGGCTCCGCTGAGGACTTAAACAAGTACCTCAGTTTAAGCATGCGAGTAGTCCCATGAAAGTTAAGCATGTACTTAAGTGTTTTGCAGGTGTCGGGCCTAAACTGTGAAGGCCTTAACTCAGTTTTTACTCAGACAAAACGTATTGAAAGGGCTGAATAAAAACTGTGTAAGGTCCTCAGGATTTATAGGGCCATTGGGATCTAAATTAACAAGAACCTCTGACAAAACTCCTACTACAGCGTATCAGAATGTTCTATATTACATAGGGCTTGATCCTTTCCTCCCCGCAAGCGTGATAAAACACCTATTGACTATGAGGTGAAGAGAATCAGGCTCACACTCCTAATCTGTTCATCCTTATTACATGCTGCGGGGCAAGAAGAACCATCTGTATACTTTTTTCCTTTGGAGCTTGATGATGCATTTTACTAGCTAATCATTTTGTGGCTCAAAATGGCTGAGGGGTTTTTTTAAAGTATTTTTCAAACAAAACTCCCATTTCAGCTTCTGTTCTGCATTCAGAAAAGCTGAATGCCCCTTCCACTTTCAATGAAGCTGGATCTAATGAAGGCTGATTGTTCGCAGGACAAGATGTACTGTGTCTCACAGCACTGTTGATCATTCAGGCACTGACTCAGGAAAGCACTTAAGTAAAGTCTTAAAGTTAAGCACCTGAAGTCAATGGGACTCAAACACATGCTTACCTTTGACTATGTGGTTAAGCTCTTTCCTGAATCGGGGCCTCAATCGACCGTGCTCCATTGTATAACACGCCTAACAGCTACAACATTGCTGAAAAGCATTCGTTTTACTGCCTTTATGCGGGTATGCCTTTATCTCCTGTGTATTAAACTTACCTGAGATGTTATTTACCTTATCAGGCCTGCATTATTAAAAGTAGAGCATTTTGAAGTGGTTTCACTGAATACATGTCACATCCCCCATGACTTCTGATAGGCAATGATGATAGGACCTGCCAGTTTACAACATCTCTTTATTTTACTCAGATTATAAAACATCGTCACAGGGCTTTATATGTTAACAACATTCACCTGTTTTAAATTGAGAACTGAATTAGTTCCTCTGTTATAAATGCTAATAAATTAATTTTATTTTGCATCTGCAATACCATAAAAACTTATTCTAACTGGACATTTTTCAGTGCTTACCCTGATGCAAAAATTCTGAAGAGTTTGAAGTCTAGCTATATATATATATATTGTATATACACGCATATCAAAACTCGTAATTTCTGTTAATCATCCCTTACAGTCATCTTGCACTTAATAATTTAAGTCAACATTATGAAAATATGAACACCCATTTAGTTATTTTGCTGCTATATAAGACATTTAATGCTTAAACAGAGAATTGCAAAATTACATGAATGCACTAGGAATTAACGTACACTTTCATTTAAAATTGCCACAAGGACATTTCTTAATCCAAGAACTTTCCCCATATTTTAGAATACTCTTTAATATATTTAAATGTGCTGTTTCTTTAGTAAATACATACACACAAACATGATGCATGCATGTATATGTATTTATTATGTTCAATACTATATGTAATATATATTAGGTATGCTTGCATATGTATATATATTACATACTATATATATATCATGTGTGTTTGTGTGTTATCAAACGCATATGTACACATAATAGGGGCAAATTCTTCCCTCAGATAGAATCATAGACTATCAGGGCTGGAAGGGACCTCAGGAGATCTAGTCCAACCCCCTGCTCAAAGCAGGACCAATCCCCAATTTTTTTTTTGCCCCGATCCCTAAATGGCCCCCTCAAGGATTGAACTCACAACCCTGGGTTTAGCAGGCCAATGCTCAAACCACTGAGCTGTCCCTCAAAACCCATTGAAGACAATGGGCGTCTTCCCAGTTCCAAAGACGTCCACATACTACTTTAAGAATTGGCTCATTGGCTACTTGTGTGGCTCTGAGGTTAGAACTGGGCCCATGGTGTCCTTTGGTTTATTTTAAGGCCACCAGATGAAATATAGTTGATGCTTTCCATCTATTGGAACAAATGAACAACAACATGATTTTAAAAGTCACTCCTATTAGGTGGTATTTTACAACTAAAAGCCTGAGGGCTTCTTTCTCCTCTCACTTACACCTAAGTGTGACTCCATTGTCTGCAATGGAGTAACCCCTCAGTTACACTGGTGTAAGGGAATGGAGATCCTATGAACACTTAGGTGCTTAACTTGGCTTATAGTATACATAATGTAAACATAGTTTAAGTAGATAATTTGTTTGGGATTTGAAAGGAAAAGAAAAAAATCCTGTTATGGAAGGTTAAGAGATTAATATTCACTTGAGATAATAGAAGAAATATATATTCTGGGGTAAAACTATGCATTTCATAACCTGGTGGTGTCATTTTTAATCATTAGGTAAATACGTATTCATTTTAATTGTAGTTTGCAACTGATTAACCCAAACAGCTCTTGATAACACACATTTTAGATGCATAGCAAAAAATAGAAATTAATCAAATTCTGAAACTAGTTACTGCCAACATCCTAGGCCCCAGCCCTGCAAACACTTATGCACATAACTGTAAGCATGGAGTAGTTCTACTGAAGCCAATGTAACTACTCATGTACTTAAAGCTAAGCAAGTATGTTTGCAGGATTGGGCCCATAGTTACTATTCACAGATTACTAACTGAGATCCCAGTCTTGCAAACACTTGTGGGTGTTGTGTTTGCCACTGTGTAATCTCCATTGAAGTCAATGGCAGTAGAGTTTAATTTACTTTTTTTACTGAGAGTTTAATTTACTTTTTTGGATCAGATGCTAAAAACACTCATATGTGTAAGAGATTGCAGGACCAGGTCCTTTAAACAGCAACAATGATTTATGGGATAAATTTTCCCAAATTTTTTATTCTTTATTGCTCATTAAAACTAACTTTGCATTGTGCACATATAAAACAATCCAAGCAGCTTTTTTTCTTAAATAAGCTTGTATAACTCAAAACTGACCTAAGCTCTACTTTTTAAAATAAAAGGAAATTTGAACGAAAAATTGCTTTTGGACTGAAAATTCATATGCCAAGTTTCTCCCATAGCAAATTACCAACCCTAGAATATAGGGGTCTGTAATGGAAATGCTGACACAGCCTTATCTTATGTTGCTATACTACATTTCAGTATAAAGGAGAGCAGATGCACATCGCAAAAAGAGTAGCCCTCTATTTTAAATTTCATTCCCAATGTGATGATTTGGCATAAATTGGATCT